GTGTGCATGATCCTGACCACTTGAATAAGTCCATGTTGGCAGTTGAAGTGAATCCCACCCTAAAAAAAGCCACCCCACGTACGATGATTTTCCTCTAGAAGTTTCTTTGCAGGGGTTGATCATTCTCGTGATCCTGGCCCCCTTAATAAACTCATTTTGACTGTGCAGAAACCTTTTTTTTCTAAAAGTACATCTTGAATCCAACTACCAATGCCCACCCCAAACATCAGTTACCGAATTCACTGTCGTTTCCATCCGTCATTTCTAGACTTTGCTAAGTTTTTCATTTCAATACCATCGGTTGGCTTTTTTTTTCCGGCTCTTCTTGTCGGCACTGATCGACAATTAACCGTCTGCGAGAAATGGTATACTATTTTAATGAAGACCTGTTTTACTGTTTAACTTATAAACCTCAACTAACAACTGCCTTTGTCAATTTTCGATGGCTGGTGAATAAAAATTATGTGTGCATCAAATAATAACAAACAATGAAACGCTTTCGTGCGTTCATTCGGTAGTAAGTGGTGTCCTCCTCAATCGTCTTTCGTAGCCAGGGTTAATGCAGTTTGCAGTAACTCTTGCAGTTGTGAGTTTTATCAAGCCGTGTAATGTCCACATAAATGGCATTGTCCATTTTGTGTACTAGTAGGCTGCCTGCGAGCACATTCGACTCAAGAACCGACTGGGGTCATAATATACTGCATTTACATGTTCGTTAAACATAGCCGACTGACTACATTAGAAAGCTAGTATTTCCTTCATGCAGGCGGCCATTACTTGATAAAATTTATTCCTACTGCTGAAAATCTCTGTGCTGAAATAACATATATACATATAAGTAGGCTGATTAAGTAAACGAATTAATCCAAGATGCAGCAGTGTATGCAGCATCAGTGCCTCATTTACTTGGGTCACTGCGTCAACGTTACCAATGTTTGAAGCATGTGTTCCCCGGTAAAAAATTGAAAGCAGGCATAAGTAGCATGATTTATTGATATCAACAAATTTCTCGACAAGTTCTCATCTGCTACGTGTCGCTATATAAGAAAGTTAACGAAGAGGCAAAGAGCGAAATTTGTTGATATCAATGAATCCTGCTGTTTATGCCTGTTACCAAGGTTATTAAGTCTGCTTCCCAGTGCAAGGATGCATTCACTGAGGGATGGCGATGGCATGCATGTGGTTTGGGCATGCTGGAACAACACTATTCTTTAACGAGATAAAGTGGCTGCCACCAACGGGAGTGAGACTCTTTAATGAATCTGTTATAGATAAACACTTTGGGTTTCTGATAGTCGGACTAAAGTATTCTTCTCGCGTTGTTATTTATTATTATTATTTTTAACCTCCACTCTCGACATTCGGCCACGCTGTATTTGATTTATTTATCACCCACTTAAAAATCACCTGCAACTTTCTATTTTATTTGCCCCAATTGTGATGAAAACTCCTGGCTTTGGCAGAGGTCGAAAAGGCACAACACGCAAGGCTTTTTCGCTGTCAACGCTCTACCGATTGAGCAGTGAGTAACGCCGTGCGTCAAACCCTCCTAACAATTAATTCAACCTAGTGGGCATTCTGGTGGGTGATTGCTTAGGAAATCCTACTTGGACCCTCATCTTGCTGTTCTCCATGGTGAATTTCATACTAGTGGTAAGTTGGGCGCGTAAATTCGATTGAAGTGTGGCTAAATTAACGGCGCAATGGCGTGC